CCATCTTCCTTCCAAGGAGTGGCTGGTGGGTTTGAACCGCCAGCCTTCTGGTTAGCAGTCAAGTGCCTTAGGCACTACACTACCAGAGCTCCCATAGAGAATATAGATAAGAATATATTTTCAGATTCACTGTCTATTCTACTTTCTGTATTGTATTCTTATATTTATTCTAGGATAAACAGCTGTGTGAAGAGTGATGAGCATGTCCTGGAAGAGTTGGAAACAGAAGGGGAGAGGCAGCTAAAAAGCCTCCTTCAGCATCAACTTGATACCTCTGTCTCTATTCAGGAGTAGGTATTGATTTTTCAAGCAAAGCAGAGTGTCACAAATGCTCATCTCCAGGTTACAGGCTCCTCTTAAAGTCTGCATGGAGTGCTCCTCTCTCACCCTGTTTGGTTGACAAACTACTACTTTTAGGCAGGATTTTGATTATGAATTTTCCTCTAGGAGAAGGAGCTCTGGTAGCATAGTGCCTAAGGCAGTTGGCTGCTAACCAGAAGGCTGGCAGTTCAAACCCACCAGCCACTCCATGGGAAAAAGATGAGGCAGCCTGCTTCCATAAAGATTTACAGCCTTGAAAACCCTATGGGAAAGTTCTACTTTGTCCTATATGGTTGCTGTAAGTTGGGATCCACTTGATGGCAGTGGGTTGGGTTGGGTTGGGTTGGTCTTCTAGGAAGCCATCCATATTCCACTCAGTCCAGGCTAAGTGCCTTTCCTACATACTTCTTATTTCCACTAACATAGCACTTATAATTCATTACCGTTGTCTGTTTACTTGTGTCTTCTACAAAAGTAGAAGCATTTTTTTTCTGTTTTATTGTTAAATCCTCAGTACTTAGTATAGTGTCTGATGCATAGTCTCAGTACTCAGTATAGTGTCTGATGCATAGTAGATACTTAATAATAAATATTTGTTGGTTCAGTCATTTATACATCACAGAAGGGATTATTGATGGGAGTTCCATTTCATTGCAGTGGTACTTCAACCTAGATATAGAATGTAAGAGAGAAATTACTGATGAATTTCTAATGCCTCTAATAATGGTGACACTCCCCTCCCCGCCCCCAGTGAATTTTTGTAAACTCCAGATATCCTTACTCTCCTCCTGCTTGTTTTGCAGATGTGTGTCTAAGAAAGAGAGCTTTGCTCCTGGTACTATGTACAAGCCCTTTGGGAAAGAAGCAGCTGGGACTATGACTTTGTCCCAGTTCCAGACACTGCATGAAAAGGACCAGGAAACTGCTTCTCTCAGGGAACTAGGGCTCAATGAAACAGAAATCTTAATCTGGAAAAACCACGTTTCAGGTGAAAAGGTGAGTAGGGCAGTGGACAGCAAGAACTCTTTGTTTGGAGTTGAGAACCTTGGCATTTTTAGTTTTCACAAAACTGAGCTCTGTGTCTGAATCTTCTTTGGTTTCCAGGATAAGGACTTTGGTAAAATAGAAACTATTCTTGACTTTTTAGCTAACACTTCTATAAATGTTCATTTCTGGGCCCTGATATTCATCTTATTTCTTGAGGTACCAGATCATCACTTTCAGTGTGTGTCCTCTCTGATACATGCCATCTCATTTCTTTCGCTTCAGAGTACAAGACTAAGGGCAACCCCCGAAGCAATACAGAACCGTCTTCAAGATATAGAAAAAAGGATCACAGAGCGTCAGCGCATCCTTTGCTTGCCACAAAGATTTGCAAAGAGCAAACAGCTGACCCGGCGAGAAATGGAAATAGAAAAGTCTTTATTTCAGGGAGCTGATCGTCACTCCTTCCTTAAGGCTCTTTATTACCAAGGTATGTGATCCCCACTGACTTTGATATGCTCTTTCACTGAGAGAAAAATTGAATATCAGGGCATTAAACATGAGGAGTTGATGAAGGGAGTAAGAAAAGACAAACAAGAAACTATCTCTACTCTTGAGGAAAGTATACTCCCATGGGAGAGATAAATATGTTTACAGATAATTGCAGTACAACATGGAAATTGCTATTATAGAGATGTGCATAAAATACTGAGGGAGTACAGAGCATAGAACATCTCAGTGTAGTTGAAGGAGTCAGGAGTTGACATTTATACTGAGTCTTGAAGGATCAACAGGCATTTGTCAGGTAAATAAGGCCAAAAGGACATTACAGATAGTGGTGAATAGTAACAGGATTGTGAAAGGATCTGATATGTTTAGAGAACAAGGAAAAGTTCAGTATGGCAGGAGTATAGGGGATGGCAGGAAGTGACAGGAGATGACACTAGAAAGGTAGGTCAGGTTAAATTGTGAAGGGCCTTTAGGCTCAGCTATAAATTAGCACAAAATTATATGTTAATTGTATGTGTCTTAACCAGAAAATATTAGTTTAACAGAGAAATTTTACTAGGCATTGTGAAAGGTTCACAGAAGTTTAAGGAGTGGTTGCTAGTCTTGTGCCTATTACAGTCTGGTTAGAGAGATGAATGTATGATATTTAGTAACAGTGCTAGCACAGTTGCTAAATACTGTAGGAGTTAAGAAGAAGGAAATACCACTGTGTATGAATGGCTGAAGAAGTTTTCTCAGAGGAGGTAAAATTTAAGTGGTCTTTTAATGCTACCTATTCTTTTGAAAGAGGAGGAAAGACATCACTTGCAAGGCATGGCATGAGCACTTTGGAGCATTTGGGAGAGTTGTGGGAAACGAAGTCAAAAGTTGGTTAGAATCAAATATTGGAGAATCTTACAATGAGCAAAAAAATGTGAATTTTATTTGATGAGTAAGATAGGCCTATACTGAGTTAGTCAGCAGTTTGAATATGGTTGAAGGTTTTTGAGCTAGGAGTAATATGATAAAAGCTGTATTTGACAATGATTAATCTGGTGGTCAATAAATAGAATTAGAGAGAGGAAGAAATGGAGGCAGAGAGAATGGTTAGGTTACAGTCACTTAGTCATTTAGGACTAAAATGATGGCAGTAGAATTAGAAAGAAAGATATGGTTGTCAGAGACATTACAAAGTAAGAATTGATAAAACTTGTTGACTAAGAATGAAGGAAGAGGATCAATAAAAAAGAGTATGTCAAAGATAACTCAGATGTTTCAAGGCTGTGGGGCTTATTAATTGACAAAATTAAGAAATACTTTATGGGAAAATTGTGAGGAAAGATGATGAGTTTTATTTTCAACATGTTGAATTTGTGGCAAAGGCAGGCTCATCAAATGCAGATATTGAGGAGGCAGTTGGAAATGCAGCACTGAAGCGTAGGAGAGAGATCAGGACTAGATATATAAAATTGGGAATCATCTATGCTCAGATTATACCTAAAGCCATGAGAATGAATGAATGAATGAATTGAGACAGAGACATCATAGAGAGGGAAAAGCAGGAGTGAAGGAAGGAAGGAAGGAAGGAAGGAATAAACAAATGAATAGACTTGTTGAGAGACAGGATAGCATACTGATTAAGACCATAAGCTCTAGAGACTGAGCGCCTGGGAAAACCCTGGCTCCCCCACATACTAGCTGTGAGATGCTGGGCAAGTTACTTCTCTGTTTCAGTTTCTTCATCTGTAAAATGAGAATATGAGGACTAAACCAGGTAATATGTGTAAATCACTTAGAACAGTACCTGGTGTTTGGGGGGAGGTGTATGAATCTGTTCTATTTCCTGTCTTTGAAACTCCTTGCTTTAAACCTTCACAGCATACCACAAAAAGACAAGTGCAGACAAGTACATGACCTCAATGAAGAGGAAGATAAAATTAGGCACAAAAGGCAAGTTGAGAGTTTTCTTATAGTGTTAGATTTAGGAATGTAGCCTAGGATCCCAGACTTCTAAGCTAAAGTACTTATTTAATTCCACATTCAGTAAATGACAATGTTTATAGGGAATATACAGAGGGAGCATATTAATAGAATATTAAAGAGAGAAGATAGTACAAGTTATAAAGCTTTTACATTTAGTATTGTTAATTTTTTTCTCTATACCTTTAAGTTATTGTACCAGCTGTAAATTGACCTTAATGATTTTAAATCCTATTTCACAACTAATTCTGAATATTTTTATTATTCAGCAAAGTAAACCTATTGATAATGATTATTATAATATAATATTTAATATTTTTTGAAATGACAAAAAAATGATTTTTTTTTGTTCTGTGTCATTTTTTTATGTATAATTCTGTAACTTATATATCATATATAGATTCATGTAACCACCACTATAATCCGAGGACAATTCCATCACCATAAAATACTCCCTCATACTATTTCCAGTTTCCACCCATAATCCCTGGCAATCACTGATCTGTTCTCCATCACTGTAGTTTTGTCTTTTAGAGAATGTCATAAATGGAATTATACAATATGTAACCTTTGAAAGTGGCTACTTTCACTCAGCATAATGCCTTTGAGATTCATCCAAGTTGTATAGTGTATCCATAGTTCATTTATTTTACTGAATAGCATTCCATTTATGGGAGGCAGATATACCAAAGTTTGTTCATCCAGTCACCCATTGAAGTGCAGTTGACTTGGTTCCAGGTTTTGGCGATTATGAATAGTACTGCTATAAATATTCTTGTACAGGTTTTTGTGTGGACATAAGTTTTTATTTCTCTAAGGTAAATACCTAGGAGTGGGATGTCTGGGTCATATGGTAAGTGTATGTTTAAAAGAAACTGCCATATCATTTTCAAGAGTGGCTGTATCATTTTGCATACCCATCAGCACTGTATGAGAGTTCCAGTTGCTCTGCTTCATTGTCATCACTTGATATTGTTGGTATTTGTATTAGTTACTCTAATAGGTGTATAGTGGTATCTCATTGTAGTTTTAATTTGCATCCCTTAATGGCTAATGATGCTAAACATCTTTGCATGTGCTTTTTGCCATCCTTTTATCTTCTTTGCTGAAGTGTATTTTCAAATCTTTTGCTGTTTTTTAATTGTTTTTTTATTTTCTTCCTGTTGAATTTTGAGATTTCTGTATATATTCTGAACAAAACCCTCTCTTATATATGTGATTTGCAAATATTTTCTCTCAGTCTGTATCTTCTCATTTTCTCTAACAGTGTCTTTCATAGAGCAAATGTTACAAATTTTGATTAAATATAGATTATCAATTTTTTTCTATTATGAATCATGCTTTTGTTGTTATGCCTAAGAATTGTTTGCCTAACACCAGGTCATGA